CCCATGAGGGCCGACAGGTTTATCTCGGCTAAGCGCACCCTCTCAAATCTGGTGTCATGGTGAGTTGTTCTTATAGTAGGGTCACGCCTATGTGACTCTACAGGGGCAATAATAACAAAAAAAAACAACGACCTTGTGTAGGTAGGCCAACCAGATGGATAGTATCTGGATTACCCCGATGATGGCACTATCATGCTTATGCATTGAGGGGTAATCGATCGCTGAAAAATGAGTCGAGCAAAAGGGCGAGGGCGAAGTATCAGGAGATGAAACATCTCCATGCCAAGTATCTGGTGTTGGGGATGGGTACTTCGTCATTCGTGGAACGGAAAGAGTAATTATTGCCTAGGAGAACGAATCGACCGACAAAATTGTCAGTCGTTCCCCCGAATAGATGTATGCGGTACGATAATATGGTCGAACCGGGAGTTTAAACACCGACCACGAGCCAGATCACTTGTTGATCTGCATGGTACCAGCGGTGTTTATTTATATAAGCTGTGCGTGACGGATCTTCCGTCTTCGGACGACAGCAGCATTGTCTCTCCGGTCATGCAAGCAGGAAATGATAACCTTGGCAGGTAGTCTTGTCAAGTCGAAATGTTGTTTATAAGTATGAGATTATAACGGTATTAGGATTATACATTGGATTTCATGTTTGGTCGAGACCGTCCTAATCGACCGATGCTCGTTCGTACCGAGGAGATCAGCGCCCTCGGGAACGGACGACGTTTGGGTCCACTTGGCGTTAACCAAGCGTACCTATACTCCAGCGAGCAAGGAAACGCCCTCGGCTGACCTACCTCTGCAATTGCATGTAAAAGCTTTAGCACGTGGGTCGGTAGCTCGGCGGGGATACGCCCCTAAGGGTGGTGAAAGCCCCTTAGGGAAGATAAGTTGTGCCCTGCGAAAACCTATTCTGTCGTAGGGGACCGCGGGATGTATAGCTGGCGCACCCGGCTAGAGTGGCGAAGGGACAATGCGACCTCGTCCGTCTCGGCGGTTCGCGGGATTATTTCTGCATCATCCTAAGTTGTCTCTCGATTATGTTTTTCTAACTCCTGCGTGACGTAGCCGGGAGGGCCCTTGTTCACGCGAGGGCCGATGCGCTCGACAGCGGGATCTCGCACGAGTAATGGAGAGCCTCTTGGGCAAGGATGGAGGTTGCCCGGTTGTCGAGAGAGATCGCGCAGTGATGGAGTGAGATGGAGAGTTATCACTCAGCGATGGAGGGAGATCGTGCGGCGATGGAGAGAGAAATCGCGCAGCGCTGAAGTGGGATAACGCTGGTCAGGGCTTCGATAGTGATGGCCAGCACTGCGGTGGAGAGCGATGGTGCACCGGTGGAGAGCGATGGCGCGGCGATGGAACGTGGTACAATGCAGCGATAGCGATAGCGATGGCAGCGATGGAACAACGATAGCGATTGCGCAGCGATGGCGCACCGGTGGACAGCGATGGTGCAACGGTGGAGAGCGATGGCACAACGATGGAACAGCGATGGAACAGCGATAGCGATGATGCAGCGATGAAACAGCGATAGCGAAGGTAGCGATAGTGAAGGCAGCGAGAGCGATAGCGATAGCGATGGCAGCGATAGCGATGGCGCACCGTTTGAGAGATGGCGCAGCGATGGAACCAACGTTGCGATGACAACTATGGTACCAGTGTTGCGATGGCGCAACGATGGCCAGCGCTGCGATGAGAGCGATGGCGATTGTCAGCGGTGCGATGGTCAGGCGAGCGCGACGGCTGCGATGGGGGATATAGCTTTGCATCGCGATGGCAATGAGCTAAGCGCATCGATGACGATGGTGATGAGCTAAGCGCATCAATGACAATGGTGCATGGCTAATTGCACCGATCCGTTGACATTTGCAAAATGTTCGAATGACAGCGACACCGAAACTTATAGATTTTCGGTGTTTTTGACCTCGGCGCACAACGAATCGCCGCGCCTCGGTGGGAAATAAACCGTCGCCTGGCCTCGACGCGCAACGAACCGCCTCGGCGCACAACGAATCGCCTCACCTTATAGATTCTTGCGCCTTACCTCGTGCGTCGGATCATGCCGATCGACGGTCCAGATTACAACTGCGAAAATGACATTGCCTACCCCTTGTTTTCGGGAACTGTCACATCATTGCACGCCGGAGTAGACGGAGATTTTGGGGCCACTGGCATAACAGTGGCTTCGTTCATCTGGGCGGTTGAAAATTGTTGATCGACGGCTGACAATTTTCGGTACCCCTTACCGTTTATAGGCCGTGGCGTTTTATGGGCCCAGGGGTGCAATACGCGAATCGATTCGGCCCCACCTTGATGGCGTTTTATGGGCCCAGGGGTGCGATATGCGAATCGATTCGGCCCCACCTTGATCCCGACGCGAGGCCTGCTGCAACAAACTATAAAAGGCGTTGCAACCCTCGAGTTATCCCTTTTGTTGGTGCTCCACAGATCAAGTCGCGCTATCGCTTCCGCGCGCGTTTTGATATTTGGTCTTCAGCCCCCCCCCACCTTCCGCCATAGCCCGCTCACTCTTCGCTCTTCACTCCGTCCGCAGTTGCCACATTGTGTCCGGTTCGCTCTTCGCTCCTCGGTCTTCGCTCTTCCTAGCTCGATATCCCTCCACCATAGCTGGTTCGGTGGTTGGTTGCTCGCTCAACGCACGACGAAGGTAAAATCATATAACTTGAGTTGTCCTATTCTGTGTCCGATGTCCGAACACATTCCCAGATGCCCTGTCTGTACCTGCAGGATATAACGCCGCAGCCTCGTTCTGTTGAACCCTGAATCAATTCCCGGTTTTGTTGTTTCGCCAGTAGACGTGCTCTGATCTCTTTTCTCCACCCTCCACCTCCGTCCGCCATAGCCGATCCGCATTCCGCAGCTCGATTACCTTTCGCCATAGCCACGATAACGTTCGTATAAAGCTGCTCGATCCCCTTCGCAACTTGCAGTCGTCGCTGCACATGGCGAACCCGAATCAATACCTAGTTTCTACACTGAACACCGAATCAATTCCTGATTTTCGCTCACCTGTCCCTTGTGAGGTCGCCGGCCTGATATCTACATATATATATATAAAGATATAGATACATACATGT